ACAAAGGAGCCACTATATTCAAATATAAAGAGTGAACTTACTGGGAAGTCTGCAAGTTAGCAGTGTGACATATAATTATATTTACAATGTGCAAGAAGAAACCAACAGACATTCATTAATGTAATGTTTATATATTCAGGGTGGGTTTCAGAGTCAGTGTCGGGGGAGTCCCGGGTCTTGTTGATGAGACCAGCTGCAGACGGGGAAGAAGCTGTTCTTGTGGCTGGAGGTTTTGGTCCTGATGGATCGCAGCCTCCTACCAGAGGGAAGTGTTGTAAAGAGTCTGTGTGCAGGGATGGAGGGGTCAGCCACAAAGGCACACAATCCTGGCACAGGTTCCCGGGGAGTCCAGATGCTGGTGGATGAAGTGCAGAGCCATGTTTACTGTATCATCCACAGACCTGTTGGCTCTGTAGGTGAACATTTCATCCTCATGGTGGCGTTAGATTAAAAGTCCTCAGGTGACTTCTTCTGTTTGTCCAAAATCATTCATCTAATAGTGGTTGAGATATTAAATATTTTACATCGCTGTTATTTTTGTGAATTTAAAATAATTATGTTAATCTCTCAATCAGAAGCTCAACTGCACTAATACATTTATTAATTCAGGCTGTGTTTATATTTATACTTAATTAATAAATACAATGAAGAAATATTTATTATGAATACAAGTTTCACAAAGTTCATCAAACACACAGCATCAGTAAACTGCTGTTCACACAGTCATCTCAGAAATTGGGTAATTAGTTTAATAATTCAAAGATAATATTATATAGTTAACTTGTTTATTTATTTTCACATATCAGGAAGCCCCACATTTAAGCAGAGCATCTAAAAATTGCGTTATACTCTTATTGATCCTCTCCACGGAAATCTTTAGTAAAAGGCGAAAGATTTATTCGATCTGAAGAGAAATCAGAGTGATATAGTGACACAGACACTGAGAGCCCGCTGCCTTTAACGGGAACATGTACTTCATCAACGGTGTATTGTTGCTGCCACTAAATAAAAACCCTGAACAAACTGTTGGGGACAAACACAGCAGTGCTGATAAATGGAAACTTTGCGCTGGTTAACTTTGATACTTGAAACGAACCGTTGATCCGTTTATTAACGGCTTTTAACTGGTGGCGCAAAGCATGCTGGGAGTGGAGGGCTGAACGACCGTTAATTTCCGTTTGTTGTTAATTTGTCTCTTTCCGGTTGTTTGTTTGTTTTAAAGTTTATAAATGTAATAAAGTGCAACAGTTTGTATATACAGACTACAATGTCACCGCCGACAGTTGTTCATATAGTTTGTATTAAAGTTTGAGTGTGACAGCCGTTGACTGACCAAAGACTGCAGATTGAATGAACAACAACGACCTCCTGTGGTAACACAACACAATAAACTGCTGCTAGTATACTTTTTATATTCTATCAAATTACAGAAACAACAAACAAACAAATTGACAAAACAGATATCTTTAATTTTTAATATTTGACGTTATATAACTGTATAAAAATAAACCAGGAGTTCATAAAAATACAATAAAACATCCAGATGGTCAGGTGTCTGATGTCTGTGTATATATATAATTTCTCATACACACATTATTAATATTATATTATGGCTGCACTGTATATTTAGCCCTATATTTATGTCTTATATTAACTTTAAACTATTATACTGCTGTTTATATTATTTTATTATTAGTATAAGGACTGTAAACAAGGAAACAGAAATGTTACTTGATGTGTTTTGTTTTGATTAAATAAATAAATAAACAAAACAAACAAAAAAGTTGCCTAACTACTCCCTACTGCTTCTGCCTTATTCACAATAAATAAACTAATGCACAGTAATATTTTATAATACAATACAGAGCATAAATGAGTTTTTAAAATCAGAATCAGGTTTATTTGCCAAGTAAGTTTTCACATATAAGGATTTTTGCTTTGGTACGTTGATGCAGAAGAATCACAATCAAGCTGGAAAAAATATAAATAAAGATAAAAGATAAAAAAAGAGACAATAAAAAGGAGCCTAACCCTCAACTAGGAAACAGAAATGTTACTTGATGTGTTTTGTTTTGATTAAATAAATAAACAAAACAAACAAAAAAGTTGCCTAACTACTCCCTCCTGTTTTTTCACAATACAATATGTTGTATACAATACAGAACATACATTATATAAGTAACAGAATTAAAAGATACTTTATTAAAGCACAAATTGTTATTAACCAGATAATCAGACTGAACAATTTTGTTTCACTTCATTCATTCTTGTTATTTTCAAAGGTCTGAACCAGGAAACATTAAAACATTTTATACATTCTGCAGATTATTTTGGATTGAACTTCCATCCACTGTTATTTAAGTGTTTTTACTCATTCTTGTGTCAAAGACTCTTTACAGACACAATCATTCAGCCATGGCTCTGATGCGTCAGCAGGTGGTGCAGTTTGTTTACAGTTTTTTCCGATTCTTAAAACACAATTTTGCAAACTAGGCTGGCTTTATAAAAATACTAAACACAATTCATAAAACCAATCACCCAAACTGTAAAAATACCTCATATATCCTGCAAAATGAAGCACTGCAACCAAAACTATATATAGCATTATCAAAATCAAACTTTTTGCACCAAATGGCACACACTTCATTCATATTACCAGATTGTTGTCTAACCAATTACACACTGTTGGGAACAATGAAAAGCACTCTCATCTTTAAGAAATATTTGCAGACACACACACACACGCTGTTGAAACATTTATATTTTTATTTTTCACCAAACAGGTCAGTGCAACATATGCACAGCAGATACATTTACATTGGAGTGAACA